GGTGGCAATAATGGAGAGATGGGGGTGGGGGGTTAGGGTAGTGGCAATGGCACTGGGGTTTTATTTTGTTAATTTTATGGGAAATTTTGGTACACGTCCCTAGTTTTTAATCTTCTTTTTTTCAAATCTTGAAGAGGCTTAGAGGATTAGAAAATGTGAAGAGGATTCGTTAGATACGGAAAATCTATACAGATTATACATGAAAAAAGTTGAACCGGGAGAATCAAACGGAAACGATTGAGATTGTCTCTGAATGTGTAATACTGGAGTAATAAAGTTTCCGATTAAATTGGTAGGTCAAATTACAAGTAGTGATAAAGCGAAAGTTATGATTACTCTAGGTTTCAAATTTAAGATTAGAACAAAAAAAAAGTTCATGATACAAACATGATATATTTGCTTTAAAAAAACAGAATTGATGAAGAGAACTAAAAGTTGCAATATCATTAATTAATTCAACCAAAGGTTAAGTCCTTATAATAAAAAGGATTGAAGAAAAATTTTTGTATATTTGATTTCAAAACTATAAAATATTTCTCGGTAAAGGGGTGTTTCAAAATTTAGTGCAAGTAGAGGGGGCTAGACTAAATCTACCCCCAGAGAGAGGGGGAGAGAGTATGAGTTGGGTCCCTTCATGTGGGCATTAAAATATAGGGTTGGAGACATAAATATATAGGTATTCAATACACCATCCTGAATACTGATTGAAAATAGAAAAGGAGGCTGAATCTGGTTGATGGAGTTGTTTAGTTTTCGTATCCAATATTCAATCCTTCATTTCATCATCTGCTTTTTAATTAGTTTAAGTCATCAGTGTCCTTGTCTGTGCAGTGAACATGCAAGATTCAACATTTTATTAAATTACGTTAATTTCCAATTGATTCCCAAAGATTTTAGCTGTCTACTGCAGTTCTGTATATGGGTAGTTAACCCTTGATCAAAAGTTTGATATAATTTCATAGGCGAATATACAAAAGGAAACTTTTGGGTAAAGTTTGCAAAAAAGTTTCTTCAGTAGTTTATTTGATGTATAGTGCAAGTGTACTATAGTACTGTACTAGGCGACATTTAATCAATGTGAAAATACTTAAGGAACTTGCTTTTCTTTTAGCAGGATGTTGGCCCTACGCTTCAGTAATCTGTGGGGACAGAGAGAAAGATCCAAAGTTTGTAACTAATAAAGTAAAAGACAACGGAGTATTTTACTTGGAGTCTTAAAGCTGATAGCTAGTTGCATCACATGAGCAGTTATTTGGACAAAATTTCAAAAGAGACTCATTTGTGAACTTAATCCTAAAAAACGACCTCATTCAAACAAAATTACAAAAACCGATCTGGTTTCAGCCTCAGCTATGAAACCAGGTCGGTTTTTGAATTTTTTTTTTCGAAACTTCACGGGAGTTGAACTCCCGTGAAGTTTAGTAGATGTGCTAAACTTCATGGGAGTTCAACTCCCGTGAAGTTTCATAGTTCAAAATTTTTTTTTGAACTATGAAACTTCACGGGAGTTGAACTCCCGTGAAGTTTAGCACATCTACTAAATTTCACGGGAGTTCAACTCTCGTGAAGTTTCGAAAAAAAAAATTCAAAAACCTACCTGGTTTCAGAGCTGAGGCTGAAACCATGTCGGTTTTTGTAATTTTGTTTGAATGAGGTCGTTTTTTAGGAATAAAAGTCTAAATGGGTCTCGTTTGAAAATTTGTCCGTAGTTATTTTTTATTTTCCAGTCTGAAAATACTATAAAGTTTGAAGCTAGGAGTGTTAGTCACGAAAATTTCCATGCATTTATGAGAGGGGAGCTGAAACATGGGAGAAAATTTATTGCATTCACCTCTCTCCTCGGTCTTGTGTAACTTTTGTTCTTTTATGTACATTATAAAGAATTTTTCATGTTAAAAAAGACAGTACAATATATATTGAAATGGGGGCTTATAAAAGTATATTTATCACTGTCCGAATCATAAATACAATTCCTCTTTGGTGAATAGAGTTAGATATGCCCATCTCTAACCCATATTAATTTATTTATAAAACTAAATGAATATATAGAAGTGGGTGGTTATTTATTTTGCAATGACTTATGAGGGGATGAGCATTCATAGAGTTCCTGTGATCTTAAGGTATGTGTCACATCCTTCCCTAACCTGTACAAGTTTGTCCAAAATCAGACAATCATCTGTAAGAAGTGATTCGCAAGGAAAATATTTGGGTCAGATTACTATGTGAGAATAGTGTTTTTATTTTGAAGGAGTCTTTGACCGATTCAGTAATTTTTATTTTTTATTCTTGCTTTTAAAACCTGTATTTTTTTAATAAATTATATGAAGAAGAAGGTGAAAAATAATAATGTGCAAACTTTATAGTTTAAAGTTTTATATTTTTGAAAAATGATCAATTAGAAGATAACAAGAGAAGTATGCACATAATAAAACCCAACTACCATAAATCAATCATGATTCCAAGTCTCCCATCTTAAGTAAATCCTAAAAATAATTTTAAATAAAGGGTAAAATAAAGTGTTCGGCTAAACTGGATGCACTTCTAAACAAAATAACAATAAACATGATTATATCATAAACTAGAAGGATTAAGAAGCTAACAACCACACTAGTTAGATCTCTTCTCTGTAAAGACAAAAATAAAAATAAAAATGTTTGATTATCACATGTAGAGAGTTGACCTATCATGATAATAGGTTTTGGATGCATTCCAAGCTTAACACAGTTACAAGTACTGATTGTTTTAGACGTTTAATGGTATCTTTATCCTGTTTTATGGATTATTTGACGCAAACAGTAATCATGGTAGTGATGAAACAGTGTTCTATTTGGCATTGTTAATTGGTGAGGCATATGCAATATTTTTGCATCTTGTTAACAGCAATATAAATTGTAATTATTTCACTAAGCTAATAAGATTAGGATGTGAGTTAAATGAAATTCATTTTTACTATTATCTAGTGATTATAGCTAGCATTAACACATATACCATTTTCATCATAAAAAGGATTATGATCCTCAATATAAGAGACATAATTAATCCAATGATCTTTAATATCTACTTAATAGCTGGTGCACTGGGCAGATAAAGAACCTATATAGATTAGTGTATAGCAACTTCCAAGTCATCATATTTTGTATTGACACAAAAGTAAATAATAATCTTTAATGCACAAACTCCCAAAGTGGACATGGATTATTGGATAATTTCTCAAACCCAAAACATGCTCCTTTGTTGCTTCCCTTTATGTTTTTGCATCAATTGAACATAACCCAACTCCCCCCCACCCCATTTATACCTTCATTTGCATTTCAACTCATATACTAGCACTTAACATCCCCAAAGTTCCTTTTTTTTGAAAGATAATTGCAAGTAGCACCCCCTTTTTTCTCATGAATTGAGGGCCACTAGATAATTGTCAGGAAATGAATTGAGGGGTTTAGTGTAACTGAAGATATAAATAAGGGGGTGCATCTTCAATTTACACTCTTATTTTTTTTGAGTACGAATCTTATGGGGACCGTCTTTATTAGAGTGAGGTGATCTACACCTTAAATAAAAGACTTCTAGATATGTAATGTTTTCAAACTAATCCTCTAATCATCCGTGAATGGTATAGTTCACCCCTTTTTTTGCGGGGGTGTTATGATAGAATCAACTACTCATCTTTGTTTCTCTAGGTCTTAATTTGGTATAGTTCTGAGACCATAGTCTTCATAGTTTGGTATGATTAAAAAACAGAACAAAAGGCCTTTGAGACCATAGCCTTTGTAGTTTGGTATCGTAAAAAAAAAAATAATACTCTCTTTAAAAATATGAGTTGGGGAAAACTTTCAATTGTCAATATTACCCTTTACCCTTTACTATTTTAAACATTTTATTTAAATTTTAATATATTATAATCATAATTATATCATATTCTAATCCCAAGTGTACTATTTATAGCTCAACAATTTAAAAAAAATAAAATATTACCCTTCACTAATTTTAATATTTTATTTAAATCTTAATTTATATCCTAATCTTAATTATATCATATCCTAATCTCATATGAACTATCTATAAATAAACATATCCACGATATTAGTTTTTTAAGGAAAGGAAATTATACATAGCTAACATACTAATACATGAAGTATTTATAAAGACACTAAGAAGTTTCAAAATTGCACAAAATAACCTCAAAAGTTTAAAATTATAAAAAAAACTATGACATAAAACTTAAAACAATAAACATGAAATAAAAAAATTAACATCAGCCTCTGAAGAATATAAAATTTGTATTTATTAACCCCGATGTTTTAAAAATTATAGGAACACCTTCAAAAGTTTAAATTAAAAAAAAGACTGTAAAATTCTAAAATTTTAGAACTTACAAACAACATAGATGAATTTAAGGGATTACCATCAGTCGCCTAAAAATTTAAAAATTGCTATAATTAACCTCAAAGCTATAAGAATTGCAAAAAACTTTCTTCAAGGTTAAAAATCACAAAAAATTTCTAAAATTTCAAAGTTTGTAATCAATACACATCAAATCTAAAAATTATTGGCAGATTGTTAAATTTTTTTTAAAGACAACCTAAAGATTTAATAGTCACAAATAGCACCCTCAAAATTTCAGAGTTGTAAGAAATATCCTGATATTTAAAAATTACTACCAACATATAAAATATGCAAATTACAATCACCAAACTGAAAATTAATATTTTTAAAAAA